ACCTTCCAGTCACATACTCGGTGCACACGGTTCTTTGTGCTCTGATCTCCAGCATGCAGGAAACACAAAGTACTAAGAAGTGGGAAATGCACACTAACGTCTCTTCTCCCTTCCCGAGGTAAGGGAGAGGTCTCACACATTTCTAAGGACTCCTGCAGGCTCTTTCATAAGTGACAAATTTAAGAAAACACTTTTCTTCAGCCACTACTTAAGACAACATTTACCACGGAAATTTTAAAACTTCTTTAATTCACAAGAAGTCATGAGAAGTGTCCTCTGCAATTTTGGAAACCTTAAAGCAGATAAGAAACACAGCCAGATGCAGAAATCATCCTAACCAATTTAATGTTTTGTTGGAAGTATAAAGTAACTAATAAAATAAACTCATTTTAAATTCTTTTCCTCTGAAATAATTCCAATTTTTATTCACAGAGAAATTTGCATTAATACAGATTTTTTTTTTTTGTAATTTAATTTTGTTTCTATCTTAAATTCGAAACTGTTGTCAAGCATTCCCCATGAGGTAGATTACCAGGAAGACAGCTATAAAGAAAGCAAAATAGTAGTAGAGTATTTCTGCCAGAATCCCAGCCAACTTGAGAACAGGGGATATACAGGACAAAACTAAGTCTGGATGAACACTACCCAGTGGTAAATTACAGCTGGTTTTACCTTCTATATAGTCCTCTGCAATGTAGCTATGCTCATGCAGTATTTCCTCCATGCGACTGAGAGTGATGGCAGCAAAATGTCCTGGGTATTTCAGCTGAAGGAGGCGTTGGAGATATACAGCTGCCTGACACCCTCCAAGATTAATACGTTTGCAGTTTTTAGCATCCAACCTGAAAATGCAAAGAGACACAACTGAGACTGGAGCGATCCACAAGTTCAGCATAAAACAGACCTCCTACTTTCCCCAGAATTATTTAATTTCTGATATGGTCAAGTAGACAGATGAATATTCACAGACAAGTATTTCAAGATTCAGTTACCAGAGAATCTAACACACCTGCTTTTCTCAGACAACAAGCATCATCACTGCCTTGTTTATTGCAGATACTTTCTGAAAGGCTCTGTTCCGCTTTAAAAAAAAAAATCCAACAAATAATTTTGGCTACAGCAAGGAAATGTTCTATTTTAAGAAGGGAAGAGATGGTTAGTGGAGCTAAAAGTAGTTGCTTTAACCTTTGTTAACTTTTCACAGTTGGCCAGGTGTAACCCTCGAAAATTTGAAGCACCTACCAGATATAATAAAGCCATTTCCTGCAGTAAGGATTAAAAAAAAAAAAAAAAAAAAGAGTAGAGCAACACAGCAGCATAATCAGAATGATAAAAGCCTCAAGAACTGCAGAAATCTCACAGAGCACTTTCTTTTGTCCCAAAGCCGCTTTAAAACCTAACATATGTTTTTCAATGCCTGATCTTACTTGGGGCAGATAGCCCCTTCTACTTTTGAAAGTACAGATCTATGCACGAATAGTAACTAAAAATACAATATGTACAAGGACAGCACTGCTTCTTCAATTCAAAATTCAACAGAACTTAGCAAAATCTGCAGACCTAGTTTTAACTCGTCAGTATAAATTAAGACCTGATAAGAGCTTATACTGCAGGAGCTGGAATACTGAATGCTAGAGGAATGGGTATTTGCATCACTGAAAGTCAATGACTGACAACGGGAGGCTGCAGCGTTCTTAAGACACCAAGAACTCACCTGCCTTCTAAGACTGGCAAAATGTGCGTACACTGATAACCTGAAGATACTACCAAACCACTGCAGGGCCAGTTCTGCCTTCTGTTGTGGTAAAAACTGTACAAGCTATCTACGCCATAGGACACTTTTGGCACTTGATAACATTCGAAGAGGAGCTCTGACATCATTTGTCTTGAATACAGAGGATTGCACACCGCTTCTGTCAAAACAATTGGATGATCAACACAACCCTGTAAGAGACAAGAGAAAAGAAGAATAATAAAGATATGAAGGGAAAATCCAGGGATACTTCTCCTTGCTTCTTCTTTTGAACATCAGCAAGAACTTCTCCAAAACAGCAATGAGAAAGCACTTTATATGCAGGCTCTTAATCATGTAAGTTAAATTATATCTCATGCTTAAGGGGGTAAAAAAGAAGTCTTGTCTACAGCAGGACTTCCAATGTTAATTCAGCCAAAGAATACACTCCTAAGGGTGGAGGAGAATAGATTTTTAAAAGCATATACAAATTATTAAAAACCTAAGTAACCAAAATCTGTGCAATGAGGAGGTGAAGTGTGAGTGAAAACTGGTGGAAGTTTAGTTCAGCAGCAGGTGAAGCTTTCAAACTGGTGGTGTCACGCAGGCAAAAGGCTTCGTGGTCTGAGGAGCAACTCTCAGCTCAGCTGGGTATACGAAACAAGTAGTCAACGAGCACTACTACAAAGAGCACCACACAAAACTAATAGTGTTCAACGTCCTCCTGAAAAACTGATCCCGGATGCTGGTTCTCGGCCACAGCCTGGCAAGATGCCGCAGTCTGAACCCCTCGCCCTGCAGTTGTATCCTTCTGCTTTCGTTTTACCACAAAACTATAAAGAAATTAAGAGGATAGCGGGGTTCAAACGACACCCCTGGGGAGCACCTGGCCTGGCCAGGGTCGCCACAGCAGGTTGCTCAGGGCCCGTCCACCTGGGCCGTGAGTATCTGCGAGGAGGGGGACAACACAACGCCCCCGGACAGCCAG